AGTAGTAATAATAATCATAATTATCATCATCATCATCATCATCATCATCATCATCATCATCATCATCATCATCATCATCATCATCATCATCATCATCATCATCTTTATTATACAGTATTAAGTAATGACTTTTAGCAGTTGCTACTAGTTATACTTTCCAAAACCTACTCACAGGCTATGGCTTAATCTGTTTAAGGATTCCAGAATGTTGACCATTAACCTAAATGAAAAAAGCTTTTAGTGATGATGTAAATGCCTAAACTGCTAGTGAATCTAATGCAGTTTGTGTTGGTGAAAAGTCACATTGCTGGTGTTTTAAATACGTATGTGTCACGACGTGGTGGAATCAGGCGCTCGTCAATTTTTGGGCATTTGGGGTTATTGGTATCATCTTAAATCCTATTCGTTTGTCTTCCTTTTGGTGAAAAAAATATCCATCTATGTTAAATAAAAATTGAAATGATCACGATTGAAGGAGGTCAGGGTCGTCTAGTTTCAGAAGTAAAATTAGCGAAAAAATAGCCGCCAACATTTGGTAACTTCCATGGCTTGAGAGTCCTTGGAAACTGACAATTAACATTTTTTGTGCCTTTAATCAATGTTTTTCATTAAAATCCAAACAAAAATGTGTTTTTAAATGGACGTAAAAGATGTTGAGCCAAAAAAAAGAAAATCAGAAAAAAATTGTTCATTGGCCAAAAAAATGCCGATTTCTTTGATTTTTATTATTTTGACGAGCGCCTGATTTCACCACAATGCCTCTCTTATATGTTTTGAATTTTGTCTTCTCTATTCTAGACAAAACAAAGGAACTTTGAATGAGAGCTTTGAGCTGGAGGTGAAGCTGCTGCAACTTGGCGTGGATCTCTCGCTGCAGGATGACAGAGGAAGAACGCCCTTCCATTACGTTTTCAAGAAAAAAAACCGGGGGTTGGTGTTGTTTCTTCATATTGAGTTTTGTTTTTCCTTTTGTTGAATTTATTATATTACTTGTTACGAGTGACACTTTCCAGTTTCAGTGGCAGAAGAAAAAGAAGAAGGAAAAGGGGAAAGAAGAAGAAGAAGAAGAAGAAGAAGAAGAAGAAGAAGAAGAAGAAGAAGAAGAAGAAGAAGAAGAAGAAGAAGAAGAAGAAGCAGA